AAGCCACCATAAATAATAGAGTCATATGGGCAACCTCATCCAGGCCCCTACTTGAGGCCTCATTCCATTTTAAGAGCTCAAACACATGAAAACCCTCTCCTACGGACCCTTATTCAGCCCCCCGATGGATGAGATACTCTCATTTCTCTCTTCTGAACTTTCAGATATAAGAGACTTTCATCCTTCCTCTATTCCTCCTTTCTCTCTTCTCATAAAGCTGAGAAGTGGGGGCCGATGAACAGGGCTCATGACAATAAAGTGTAAAGTAGCGAAAAATTAGGAGATCGGTTGGAGTACGCTCAAAAGTAGGGGATGAATTTTTTTTAAACTATTAATAATGTTATATGTATTGTTGTTAACATTTATTTATTAGACATAGTCTTAAGAATTTTTTTAAGAAAATATTATGTACACCCAATGTTACAAAACTGTGCCCGCCATTACCCACTGGCCCCATCCTCGACGACAACCGCCGCATCCGTTGCAGAGATGATGTCATCAACCATATCGTCTATCTCAACCAAGCCGCCACTGATCCACCCACCGAGGGAATCGAGGTACACGCGAGATCTAAGCACGAGAAATGCCAAATGCGCGCAGATCTGGGCAAGCAACCGCAAGAGAAATGGCGGTGGCACCTATGGGGCTGGAGGGGTGAGAGAAGGTGGAAAGATGGTTTCTTTACCTCGGCCATGGGGAGTGCTAAGGAATGGCGATGCATCGGAAGTTGATGGTGAATGAGCACAACACATAAGGTGGAGTCCCGCTCACTTATCAAACTAATTTTTTTGGTTGAGTTAGGCCCGTGACCTTGATTGGTTATGGGCTTCGGTGGGCCTAGGTCTGGTGTGGCACTAGCTTGTGGATGCAGCTAGACCGAGTCTGCTATACACAGTAACAATCTATTCTATATATACATAATGGTGATAACAACACAATCATACATAGCGTCGAGGCTTGTCTGGTGGTGAAAATGAAGCATGGGGACACAGGACAGGGAGGTGCATCCAATGGCCATCACTGTCGCTGCATCCCATATTCCCATCTTGCCCCTCAATTGTGCAAAATCTAACAATACATGTCTACATTTGCCTCCAGGACATCACAAGGTCCAAATCAGGGTTTGCAAGGCCAATCGTAAAGAGCTTTTTACCTGTATGGTCCTGTAAAAATGCCTCTTCTTTGTATGGCCTCTTTTTTTAATTTACCTGTATAGCCCCGAAACGAAATTTCCTTCCTTATATGGTCTTCCGTCCGTTTTTGGCACTTGACAATGTTAAGTCAAGGGTAAAATGACCATTTTACCCCTGATAAAAAAAAAGTAAAGTGTGTACATTTGGAAAAATAAAATACAGTTTCAAAGGGTCCTGCAAATGTGATCTTCCATGAATTTGGACTAATGCTCCATGTATTGAAATTATAGGGAATCAAGACACAAATACATTGTGATCTGAAGTCATAGTGAACTGAACTTTTATTCATATCAAAAAAATCATTAAATGCAGTCTTGTTAAAAAACATCATTGTTCTCAAATCCACTATAAGATCATGAAATTGACTCTAATCAAACACATCACCACCAAACCAATTAACAAATCAGCACCCTATTCGCTTATTCTTATCAGCGCTTATCAGCCAGTCATTCAGCAGTATTTTTCTCTCACAACAAATCAGCATTGGTCAGAATCAACCAGCCAGAAACCATCCAGCGAACAGGGTAACATATTAGCAAATCAGAAAATCGAAAATAAATGGATCAAGCAGGGAGAAGAAGTATCGAGGAGCTAACACTGCAAGGAATGTATCGCAATAAGCCTGCGGCTGCCGCTGATGCAAGCTCGCCCCGCTTTGCTGCTCCGATTAGGACGCGCGGCCGCACTTGCCGTCCACGCGGGGCCTCCCCTGCTGCACAGTACACAGGCTCACTGCCACCGGCTAAGCTCGCCTTCCCGACGAGGCCCTCGATACGGCCTCATCCCCGGATGAACTCGCCACAACCGCCCGCACTCGCCGCTCTGATGCGCGCAAATCCACTCGCTCCTGCTGCAGGCGATCGATTTGTAGCCTCCATGGATGCTCTTACCGTCGCCACTGCCGCCAGGAGAGCCCGCCGCCGTTCTAAGGTTGTGACGAGTTCGAGCGACCGGAGCCCGTAGAGTTGGGCCCGATATCTGTCGCTGGAGGTGGCGGCCGCGCTAGGCTGGCCGCCGGAGGGGCTGCCTGGTGCTGCGCCGCGGGATGGGCTAGCCGCGCCAGGCTGCTCGTGCTCGTTGGAGGTGCTGGCCGCGCCGGGCTGCCTGCGGGGAGGCCGCTTACTGCCGAGCCCCGCACTGCCCACTGGAGGTCGCGGCCGCGACGGGCAGGCTGCCGGAGGGGCCGCCTAGTGCCGCGCCGCCCACCAGCCAGGGCCGCGTGCGCTCCACCATCTGAGCGGCGTCGCCTCCCCCACGGCGACCAACGCTGGGAGTGGGCTCGGTCTCGGTGTCTTTCCGCTCGGTCTCGGTCTCGGTTAGATGAGTGCATGCGGCGGTATTGAGAAAAAGAGCAGAAGGGTAATTTAGACCTTTCACGTATTAACCAGTGACCAAACTAACATAATACCATAACAGACTTGACATAAGGCCATACAACTAAGAAAATTTTGTTTTGGGGTGACATAAGGCCATACAACTAAGAAAATTTCGTTTTGGGGTGACATAAGGCCATACAACTAAGAAAATTTCGTTTTGGGGTCAAGTAAGTTCAAGAGAAAAAAAACCATATAAGAAAGATGCATTTTTTACCGGACCATACAGGTAAAAAGCTCAATCGTATATGATTACATCTCCACTGGCAGGTCGATTGCTTTGTGCTTTGGTAGGTCTTTACATTTGTGATCTTTTTTCCTACGTGGAGCTGACATGGCTCTTCCATCATGTAATAAATCACACAATATGGTCGTCAACACCTTTTATTCATCTCCTTAATGCTGATTGCACTTCTCTGAAGCCCTGTTCTTTTCGAAAATCGCTGGCAGGAACATATCAATAGAGGAGACACTTCTCTGAAGGCTTAGCACCCTGTTTTTCTTTTGATTAGACTGTCTCCAACAACCGCGACAAAAAATAAAAGACCCATTCATCCTTTGGGTAGCGCTACAGGTAAAGAGTTTAATACCTATTTTTAGTCTTCTCCAACAACAAGACCCAAAAGACAACATTTTTCTGTAAATGGGTTTTCAGGAGAGACGATACTCAGATTTTGGTTATGCCTCTCCTTGCACCTAAAATAGGTCTTTCATATAGGTATTTTATTGGAGGCTATAGGTATTATATTGGAGAGCTATTTAGGTTTGGGTTGCGCAATGGATCTCCGGTTGTAGACGGCATTACATTAGCAGTTAGCGTCGCACCTCATCAGCGTCTTTCTCCACCATCTCCTTATCAGAATATTTATCCTTGCATTGCTTGGAACCTTTTCATCAAGAGATGTAGAGGCATGTCTTGTCACTTTCTGTGAATGGAACATAGGCCACACAATTGTTTCCTCCCTGCTAGCTGATGCACAAAGTTGTGTCGTCTCGTCAGATAAATGGATGCAAGTCTTCCTAATTTCCGGGAACTCATTGCTGCAGGGCAGGCAACTGGCCAGTTCTGTGCCAAAAGACCATGTTTCAGTTTAGACACCAAATTTTTGCTCAAATAATAGACCACTAGTGTTATTTAGAGCATTTGAAAAAAACTGAAAAGGCTAAAGCTAAAGGTGTATGGGCGTCCGTGCACTGAACTAGTAGAAAGCATGGTGGAGACTGAAAGGTTTGTGCCTGATTTCCTAGTCCTAGTAGAAATAGAAAAGGATATATAGAGAAATAAACACGTGCTACCTCATCTGGCTCCCAAAGATCCAAAACTAAACAGCCTGTTCGTTTGGCTGTGGCTTGTCGTAAACGATCGTAAATTTTTAGCCGGAACAGTATTTTTCTCTCACACAAACCAGCCAGCAGTATTTCTTCACGAATCAGCAACGATATGAACCAGCCAACCGAACAGGCCGAAAGTTGTTACACACTCATATAATTCAGGTGCAAATTTGCACCATCAGCATCAATAGCACACTTGTTCATCAGTTTGTTCTGCTTTGACGCAAAATTTGCTCCATGCTTCTTATCCTCTGACGTGGTTTCTGCTCTGAATCTCGGATCATGTGCCTTTTCGCGTGCTGTCAGAATCCCATTTCTTTCACTTGCTGGGGCTTTGCTTTTCCGATCAGGCGATCCAAAAAATTTTGGCAAAATGCACTCAGCACGCATTTCGTTGTTATTTGGTAATTAGTGTCCAATTATGGATAATTAGATTCAAAAAAGTTAAAAGATTTTTCGTCTCAATTAGTTTTTTTTTTTCGTCTATAAACTGTGTAATTAGTTTTATTTTTTATTTATATTTAATGCTTCATGCATGTGTCCAAAGATTCGATGTGACGGGAAATCTGAAAAATTTGGCAAAATTTGCTTGAACTAAACTGGACCTCGCTTGCTTTGCTTTCCTCCGATCTCAATGGTGAGGCTGAGGCGGCTGAGTGCCGAGCAGAGCAGGGAGCGCGGAAGACACGTCGCATGCGGAGAGCCGCGGGCGCGCAGCTGCGCAGGCAACTGAGGGAAGGCAACGCAAGAGACCCGATACCATTCCCCCTCGGCCACCACCATTCCATTCTTGGCAACCCCTGGCAGGCACCCACCGAGCCCGGCCGAGCAAGCAACCGGCCACCTCGCTCGCCGGCGAGGGCGAGCGTGCGCGCGGGGGAGAAGTACTAATTAAACCGCGCGCGGGATCCATCCATGGCCGTGCTGCCGCCGTGCCCCGCGCGCCACGCAACGTGCCCCGCACGCCGCCCGCCTGCTCTAATGCCCGCGCGCCTCGCTGCGACCACGCCCCCTCCTCCTGCTGCGCTTGCGCCTCTCGCCACAGAGCTCCTCCTCGCTGCTGCTGCTCCGCCAGTTGGACTGCTGGGAGACGACGGCGGTGATGGCGCCGCCGCGGTGGAAGTCCTGCGACGGGCGCCGCCGCCGGCTCCTGCTGCTCCTGTGCTGCTGCCTCCTCGCCTTCCCCTGCCACGCTCAACAAGTCACCAACAACAACATCTCCCACCGCTCCGATCAAGGTAGGCTGCTCTGCTGATCCATCCATCGATTGATCGATCGATTGGTTCTTTTAATTCATTTGACTTGACTGACACTGATGATCGTCGCCCGATGCATGCCGTGGCCCGTGGCTGGCATGCGCTCAACTCAACTCCGCAGGTGGCATCCACTCGTTCGTGGGCACGTACGGGATCAACTACGGCCGCATCGCCGACAACCTGCCGCCGCCGGAGGTGGTGGTGCGGCTGCTGAAGCTGGCCAAGATCCGCAACGTGAAGATCTACGACGCCGAGCACAAGGTGCTGGACGCGTTCCGTGGCACGGGGCTCAACCTCGTGGTGGCCATCCCGAACGAGTTCCTCAAGGACATGGCCGCCAACCCGGCCAAGGCCATGGACTGGCTGAACGAGAACGTGCAGCCTTACTACCCGTCCACGCGCATCGTCGGCATCACGGTCGGCAACGAGGTGCTGGGCGGGGCGGACACGGGGCTCGCCGAGGCGCTCGTCGGCGCCGTGCTCAACGTTCACGACGCGCTCAGGATGCTCCGGCTGGACACCAAGATCGAGCTCTCCACGCCGCACTCGGAGGGCGTCTTCGCCAACTCCTACCCGCCCTCCGCCTGCGTCTTCAAAGACGAGCTCATGGTGTACCTCCGCCCGCTGCTCGACTTCTTCTCCAAGACCGGCGCGCCCTTCTACGTCAACGCCTACCCGTTCCTCGCCTACATGAGCGACCCGTCGCACATCGACATCAACTACGCGCTCTTCAAGCCCAACGCCGGCATCGTCGACCCCAAGACCGGCCTGCACTACGACAACATGTTCGACGCCCAGCTCGACGCCGCCTACTTCGCGCTCGAGGCCGCGGGATACTCGGGCATGGAGGTGCGCGTGGCCGAGACCGGGTGGGCGTCCGCCGGCGACGCCACCGAGGCCGGCGCCAACATGGAGAACGCCGTCACGTACGACCGCAACCTCAGGAAGCGGCTCTTCCTGCGCAAGGGGACGCCCTACAGGCCCGACCGGGTGGCCAAGGCCTACATCTTCGCGCTCTTCAACGAGAACCTCAAGCCGGGACCCACCTCCGAGCGACACTACGGCCTCTTCAAGCCCGACGGCAGCGTCTCCATTAACATCGGCCTCAAGGGGCTCCTGCCGTCGTCCGCGCCGCCGCATCCTCTCCTGCCCTTCAAGGTACAACATGCTCTTGGTTCTTTCTTGGTTCCTCTCACCTTTGCCATCCACAACCTGGAGGGCTGGCACTATCATCCAACACCAAGCATAGTGTATTGGGGTGTGTAGCACACCATTTAGTACTTCGGATTTTTTTTCCCGAGAACTAGATGGTGTGTAGCACACGTCTCAATGCAATATGAGTGGTGTGGATATTCATGTAATGCACGAAATCGTGTCGTTGGTCTCGATTAAATTATTTATGCGGTGTTTTTGAATTGTTTGTGTTTTTGATGAATTTGCAGAGAGTTGGAGCGTGGGGGTGGATTGTACAGTACTCGGCTGCGCTTCTTCCATGTACATTGTTTTTTCTAGCATTAGGGACATGACCGCAGATCAGCACCTACATGCCTGCTTACTGTATAGTGTGTTAGATCCATGCTTCGTGAACTGGATGCTAGCTCATGGCGCTCATGAAGAGCTAGCTAGCTGCTCCACGACAAGTGCATGCAGTTTACTAACACAATTCTCTTCATAGAAAATCGCTCTATTGCGAAGTTCAATGGATGATTCGGAGACGGTTCAGAATTTTAGTTTTCCTTGCATCAGATGAATTTCCCATTTTTCTGAATAAATTCAAGCCTCACATTTCATAGTTCAGCCTGATCCCTTTACAAACTGAAACATCAACTTTACCTCATCAGTCTTTATCCTTGCGATAATTCACCGTTTTATTTTCCCCAAATTTGAAAAAAAAAATCAGTTATAAAAAATCCATACAAGGACTCCATATACACCACTGACCAGATTTCTGTTCGCACTGGAGAATTGCTACCTGGATCTTTGAATCACTATTCACGCCTTTTGCCTTTTTACCAAATAATTTCTGGACAGACATGGTTTTGAACTTGGAGGCTTTCCTTCCCCTGTAAGTAGTGTAGAATCACTGTCCTACATATGCATATGGCACTCAAGGCATCTGAACTGATTAGCCACAAGCCTGCCACTGCATGCAATCTCTGAAGCACAAATTAACTTATTGCTGTTGCGGCTGATTTGTAGGGTTGATTTGTTATGAGAGAGAAACATTGCTCTATGGCTGAAAAAGTATGGCTGATTTTGACTTATAAGCTCAAGCAAACAGAGCCTGGTGTGCTCAAGTTAAGGATCACTTGCAGAGCATAGAAAACTCCCCATAATCTTCTGCTGCTCGCAACAGTCTCTTTCCAAGGTAGGGGGTTTTGTGATGCTTTGCTTATCAAAACGATTCAGCAATTCATGAAAAACATACATACCATGGTGGTTCCTGAAAAGTTACAACCTTAGACACTTAGACAGTGACTTTTGGAAGAGCTGACGAGCCAATGAGTTTTTTTTTTCTTTTCTCTTTTGGTCCTTGCACAAAGGTTGGTATCGAAAACTGAAAAGAAAACGACGAAAAAGCAACCCTTTACGCTTTCACCTTTCTTTGACAACTTTTTACATCATATAGAAAGCGAGGAATTTTTTTCTAAGCACAATTTTGACACATGGGGGGAAAATCTTTTCTCATGATTAAGCACAATTCTCTGTGGAAACCTTTATGTTTTTACATCATATAGAAAGCAAGGAATTTTTACTAAGCACAATTTTGACACATGGGGCGGGGGGGGAGATTTTCTCATGATTAAGCACAATTCTCTGTGGGAAACATTATGGTTTTATGGTGTTTTGCTCATGATACCAAAGCACTGAAACATAATAATATATATAAGAAGATGGTTAAAAGGTTGAAAAAAATTATGCTTAGTGCGCATCCGGGGAATCGAACCCCGGTCAGTACCGTGGGAGGGTACTATGATACCACTACACCAGATGCGCTCAGTTGATTACACTGCGTAATGATAATAAACTAGTAGCCTCATCACGAACGGCACCTCCTAGCCTCATCGCCTGGGGTTTTCTCACCTCCTAGGCTCGCACGGGCGCACGGCCAACGCGACCACAAAGCCAGCCGACGACGCCACCCGTCGTAGACGCTCTCAACGGCTACCCAAGCGATCCGCGTGGTCCCTGTCGCGCCGCCGCAACTCTGCTAACACGCACAATGATCAGAACCGGGCGATCTCTCCGAGATTACATGGCTACATCTACATTGCAGGGCCGGATGAGTGTACATGTCGTTTTGCTGAAATTCCTTCACTGCTGTGCTGAAAAATAGGGCAGAGCATATCCTGTGAGCTGCTGTGGTCGGAGGTACAACAACGTTTCTCGAGCTGTCGAGCAGGAAGGCGCCGGCTCTTCGACATTGTTCACCAGCAAGTGCATGCATGGATGACAAGAAGCTGCAAGCGTGCTCACTGCTCGATCTCCCTCTCCAGACAGACAGGCAATGCTGCATCTGCCTGCCTGTTCACAGGTCCACGCCCCACCTCACCCCATATCCTACTCATTCCCACACTTCAGTTTAATGAAACTGCGAAGAGAAGTCATCTTGTATGGAAAATGGGGCGCGAAAAACTTTGCCAAAGACAGGCGCTTCCATGGATTTCCTCCTTTAAAACAGCTAAATATATGTGCTGGTTATCTACTAACAAAAAGGTGATTATGGTTTCATGTATCATGTGCATCTGATATACATACACTGACTGGTTTATCTCTCAGCCTCTGCAACTATAAACTCAAGCTTGCGTCATGCAAATGCAAGACTTTGCCACTATATTCCCCAGGCAACTGGGGCCTGTCAACCAAAATATAGAAATATAGAAACGAGCAGCAGTGATCAACTTCATCAAAGGTCACCGCCGGCACCGGTTAAGGCGGTCCGCAGATGACCATCCTTGGGGCATGCTAATCCTTGTTGCCGTTGGGGGATTCATCCTGCTCACCGATCTTCTGGAACTCAGCCTGGATGACCTCGACGATCTTCGCGTCATCTGGGTCTGGCTCGGGAATGCTGACGTGCAGTGATCCCATCTTGATGAGCTCCCTGCACGACGCTTGCTCTTTGATATGGTCGTAAAGTTCTTTGTGGAAAGGATGGTCAAGGGAGAAGCAGTTGTCGACGTCAGTAGATGAATGCTTTGATGATCCAGAGCCCTCCCGGCAGCAGAAATGGGGAAGTGACGAGTAGTCCATAATCTACAAATGTTAAGCATCGCAACTGTTTTACTGAAGGAAAAAATGCACGTTCACAAATGCGGATAGTATTGCAACCAGAAATGAAGGATCTAACTGAAAAGACAGCCAACAAGGAAGAATATGTTTCCAGTTATTTACCTTCAGAAGTTCATCTCTCCCGCAGCCAGACAAAACTTTAACCTTCTTTTTTGTCCTCTCCTGCAACAAGGGCTTCACAACCTAGCAGCATGCTCAAATTAACTGTCATCAGTTTCTACTAAAAACTTACTAAAAAACCTTACGTCTGAATATCAGTGGTAATTGATAGTACCTTCCAACAAGCAGAAAATATGTATGGAACATTGACTACATAATAGGTCTCTGTCTTTTCAGGGTAATTCAGATCATCAACTGTTGATATGGAAGTCAAGATCTGTATATCATATTAAAACTATATTAACAAAATAACATGCCACAATCAATACCCAGAAGCAACACAAGTAATGCACACAGCACACAATTTTTTTAACAAAAATATGGGATAATAAGTGAAAAAATATTCTCTGAACTTCAGCGTTAACACTCTGCTTGAATGCCATACAGAACAACAGAGATGAATTGAACAGTGGACAGCTCAAAGTTCAAGGGTTAAGCTATTCCTCTTGAACACAAGAGGTTAGATAAAGCTAACTTTAATATTCTATTATCCCTAGATAATTACTAAAAAGGATTATTGAAGTTATTATTATACATGTTCATACAATAATACTAACTCATTAGTGTATAGTCTAATGGGGATAAAATAGGTTAATAGTCATAGCACGTACCTTTATTTGGCTCAGTGCTGATAGCTTCAAACCAGTCATATCTAGAACTTTTATACATTTGGTAACAGGCTGCCCAAACTGTTGTGTCAGCCTAGGCTAAATGTGGTACAAATAAATGTTAGGACTGGATTCATATGTTTACATAAGTGATCTTAAACTCGGTGCATTTTGGATACTCACCAAAATTATACGATCACGGTACTCATTAATCTGGATATGAGATTGCACATAGTAGTGGACCTGAGACAAAATACCTCTATTTTTAGTTGACACACAGAATTCAGTAGAAAAAAAGCACGAGGCCACAAATAAAATGAAGTTAGTTGAATAAGATCACTATTTGGGTCACTAACTACTACAGTCAAAGCTTATATCAACCTCTGAAAGAAAAACGTTTCCGCAACATACAGTAAAAGGCTAAAAGCAGCCAGTTTCATGATTAAGCAGCCTGTAGCTGTAGCCTACTAAACAAATAGCAAGCATCAGAGTAATTACCGAAGCTTTGTCATATGTGCTATGTCCAACACCAATGCCAAAAACTGGGAGACCCTGCCAATGAGAGAAACAAAGACAGAAAAAATTATCGAAACAAAGATAGAAAGAAGGAAATTACTATAACAACTACCACATGCAACTTAACAATTGTGGTAGAAGGTTTGCTAATATTTTTTAATTTTTACAAAAAACTAAGAGCCTCGAGGAACAAAGACTAGACTACTATAGTATATAAATGGGAAGCTAATGACTCTCTGATGTTGCCCACAGGTGAGAAATATCAAGAAAGACAAACCCAAAGGTGAGAAATTATCACATAAGATCCTACAGTTCTTGCTAACAAAATATTGCCAGGTCAACTGTAGTTATCACAGATCCCAAGTGAAAACATCACCTCTGATCCTACAGATCATGATAACCAAACAATGTCCAGTCAACTGCAGTTATCACAGTTCAAGTAAAACTTGTATGTGTTAGATATGTATGTGCTTTGCTTCTACGGCCCTCTACTCAGTCGGATTTGCTGGTCTACTCCGACGCTGATTGGGCTGGCTGCCCAGACACCCGAAAGTCCACTTCCATGCGGTCTTCTTGGGCGATAACTTGGTCTCCTGGTCATCCAAGCGTCAGAATGCAGTCTCTCGCTCGAGTGCCGAGGCCGAGTATCGGGCGGTTGCCAATGCCGTTGCCGAGGTCTCTTGGTTGCGCCAACTCCTTGTTGAGCTGCACGTTCCTCTGCGTCGCACCGCACTTGTTTACTGTGATAACATCAGCACTGTTTACATGTCTTCGAACCCCGTTCAGCATCAGCGCACCAAAGACGTGGAGATTGATCTACACTTTGTTCGTGAGTGCGTTGCTACCAGTGATGTCCGCGTTCTTCACGTTCCGACGAGCTCTCAGTATGCCGACATCTTCACCAAAGGCCTGCCTTCTTCGGTGTTCACGAGTCTGAATGTTCAGGCTGTCGACAATCAGACTGCGGGGGAGTGTTAGATATGTATGTGCTGTGTGCGTGTGTATGGGCCTCCTGTGGCTGTGCGCCAGGCTCAGGCCGGCTTCCTGCCGTGCCTAGATAGATTAGGATAGGCAGGTTATCCCTTGATTGGTTCTGTTTCTATAAACCTCTCCCAAGGACTGCCTATATATTTGTATACCTTGTATACCCTAATCAATCTACTATTCCACGCAATCTCTATTGCTTTCAGTATGACGCCATATCATACTTTGAAACTACAGGCCTTAATAGCCCACTTTGCTGTTAGTAGCACATCATTCCGTGAAAGTTTGACAATCAATATAAGTTAAAACTTTAACCTCTTCAGTACTATCTTCATTCAGCATATTTAACTTTCCTAGTGAAAACTGAAAATCAAAGTACTCTGTTTTAAGAATTTCAACCGAGGACATAGACAAATTAAGTCCAAGAATATGGTAGCCTTAGAATACTAACAGTAAAAAGGCATGTCTATTTCAAACACACAAATGACTGGTTCATAATCAATTCATATATAGGGTAATGGTTCAACCAACACAGATTTTATTATTGGAAGTAAACAGCTATACCTCCTTTGTGTATCCTGACAGGCCAATAAGTTGTGAATCACGTATTGATCTGTATAAATCTACTGGGACTATAGGTCTCTGCAGATGGACAGTGCAAACATTGATCAGGAAAAAAGATGAAGAACTTTTCTATACAAACATACACAAATAGGTAGATGATTAAGAGTGATATTGCTGCAATAATAAAATAAATAATCAAAATGAGAAATGATTAGGGAAAGACCAGAATCGTAGAACTTTAAGGGAATCTTTGGTACTTTCTGATTAACATATACAGTAATATCTGGAAGGGTTACATTCTAGACAGGATGACTCACCTCCAGCACACTATCAATTTCATTTTGAATCCTCCAATTCAAAGAATCTACAATCTATAGAAACAAACATATTTTGTTAGCAAGAAAAGGGCGTACCCAGTGCAGAGAGCTCCCGCTCTGTGCGGGATCTGGGGAAGGGTGTCAGTGGCAAGCCTTACCCTCGCCTGTGCAATGCGAGGAGACCGCGACTCGAACCCGGGACCTTCCAGTCACAGGCGGTAAGACTCTACCGCTTGCACCAGGCCCGCCCTTCATTTTTTTTTTGTTAGCAAGAACATACAGTAATTAAGTTCAGTGATCACTTCACCCACTGTTGAGAAAATTGTATGAAATGTTACCATTTTATGAGCCTTTGATACATTCCACTCTCTAGCCTTAAGGAAACGCACCAGTGTTTCTTTGGGATAGCCCTGGTGCATATTCTGAAATAAATGAAGATATGCTCATATTGTTTCTCAGAATCACTCAACAAGTTACAGATTAAGTTGATGAACAAATAATCATGTATTACATCTAACAACACTGAAGCAAAGGTAGCAATAAAACAACAACAACAACAAAGCCTTTAAGTCATAAACAAGTTGGGGTAGGCTAGAGTTGAAACCCAGCAGAAGCAATCAAGGTTCAGACACGTGAATAGCTGTTTTCCAAGCACTCCTATCTAAGGCTAAGTCTTTGGGTATATTCCACCCTTTCAAGTCTCCTTTTATTGCCTCTACCCAAGTCAACTTCGGTCTTCCTCTGCCTCTCTTCACGTTACTATCCTGGCTTAGGATTCCACTACGCACCGGTGCCTCTGGAGGTCTCAGTTGGACATGTCCAAACCATCTCAACCGGTGTTGGACAAGCTTTTCTTCAATTGGTGCTACCCCTAATCTACCACGTATATCATCGTTCCGAACTCGATCCCTTCTTGTATGACCGCAAATCCAACGCAACATACGTATTTCCGCGACACTTATCTGTTGAACATGTCGTCTTTTCATAGGCCAACATTCTGCACCATACAACATAGCAGGTCTAATCGCCGTCCTATAAAACTTGCCTTTTAGCTTCTGTGGTACCATTTTGTCACATAGGACACCAGATGCTTGGCGCCACTTCATCCACCCTGCTTTGATTCTATGGCTAACATGTTCATCAATATCCCCGTCTCTCTGTAGCATTGATCCTAAATATCGAAAGGTATCCTTCCTAGGCACTACTTGACCTTCCAAACTAATATCTTCCTCCTCCCGAGTAGTAGTGCCGAAGTCACATCTCATATATAAAACATTTTCAGAAATTTAATCATATATGTATAGTCATGCATATGAACATATGTGGACATGTGGGCAGTACAGACTATGGAGCAAGGCTACCAAAACACTATGAACTAAGGTAGTCTCTGTGGGGAGTTTCGTGATTCCAGCAATCGCGATAATGAAACACATATCAGAAACAGAATGCTGACTCCATTCATTGAGCATTCTCCTATGATGGATCCAAACTTAGAAAGTATGTTGGCAACTACCCATCATAACAAAATATGTGAAAATTTAAAATGGATTGGATGGAGATGAACCAAGTAATACTCAATGATTTTTTCTTATAATGGTTAATGAGATCCAATCGAAGTTTGCAGGTCTGGTTTGTTCCACAGAAGATCACTTCTTGATCACAATCTCAAATGTCCCAAACTCCCAATAGAATAAACTTATATTAAACATTTTCTTTTACAGACCTAAAATTTTAGCTTGGAAATAAATCCTCCAAACTGGGATAGGAACATTTGATTCTGCTTCACTAATGCTCCCATCCTCCCTCCCTCCCTCCCTAGTCGCTATAGCAAGAGAGGACTTTATGAAGGGCCAAAAAATTTAAGGTTTATTTGTTGAAAACTGCTCCAGTGGTCCTTTCATAAAACTCACACAAATCTCAAAGCAAATCAATTGCTAATTAAATGCCCTATTGATCATTTTTATCTTGAACCTCATATGGCCTGGCTCTGCCCATGCCCAGTCAGCCACTTCCTAACTGAAATTCTCGATAGAATCATCCTCCTGATCCACTTTCGTCACCCTTGGCACCCTTTTTTTTCTCGAACACGCAGGAGAGCTGCGTATCATTATATTAAGAAGAAGCGGAACCAGTGTTAAAGAAACCCAAACAAACTTACAGAAAACATGAGCCCAGAAGGCACAAGCACTCCGAACCAAAAAAGAGCCAAACAACAACTACTCCTCAAGAACCAAAAAAAAAAAACTAGACTAGGAAGCCTCAAGCGTAGCAGCAACCAGGTAGGAAATCCCCCGTGCCCCTGCTAAGCCCTACATCTTTAACTCCTCCCATGCCTGAGCCAAGACCAAGGCCACAACCGGTGACGCTCCATCAAAGACACATCGATGCTACACAGGGGCGTTGGCTAGGGCTATATGTGGCTTGCATCCCATCCTTCCCTAATGACAACTCATCTCCACGAGATGACTGAACCGCGCCTTGGGTGGAGATGATTGAGTCCAGTTTGAAGCCATAGGGAAGGACGGGATGCAAGCCACATATAGCCCTGGCCAACGCCCCTGTGTGGCATCAAATGATTGAGGAGCATTCAGATCATGTAATCAAATTGTGGTTCAGAACCTTCTTGGTATCCTTCACACCTGTCATTTTTATCTCTCTCACAAATCAAACACGTTGAATTGTTTTCTTGCCTAGATAAACTAATAGGTTAAGTCGATCAATTCCAGAGCTTAATTAGCTAACTCAATCAATTGTTTCGTCTCGCATGCCGCTAAGTGCGACGAAAGCGGATCAGGAACTTCAGCTAGCTACGGGCATGGGCTGGACACAGGCAGGCAAGCCTAGACGAGACCCAAGACAAATATAATTAATAAAATTATTACCTAACAATTTGTTTGATTTAGCACTATTAGGATATGTATAATCCTGCACTAATCATAGATTGAGTGTAATCCCATAGATAGACTAGCTGCCATATATAGTCTAGGATTCTTTCTATGTATAGCCTAGGATTGCTTCCTTGTACAGGGAATAGCTTTCCATATGTGTAATTTCCTTGTATGCATATTAGCTATATATGAAAGGCACCCCACCCACATTCAGTGTGTGGTGATTCCCTCCTTTCCTGTCTATTCTACATGGTATCAGCTTAACCGATCCTCCTTCCCCTTCCCATCGCCCCCCCTCTGCTGTCCCCCCTCCTCCCATCAGGGTCGCCATGACGACTGGATCTGCCACCAGCTCCTCCTCCTCCTCCAGCACCACGACCAGCCTGGGCTCCCTCTCTGCCCCTGCTGTCTTCGTTGCCCCCTATGCAACGATCAATGTCAAGAACCACATCCCGGTGACCCTGGAACTGACGAGGCCCAACTTCAACCAGTGGGAACCGTTCTTCACTTCTCTCTGCGGGAAATTCGGCCTTCTTTCCCACATCACGGAGGAAGCTGGCTCTCCCGACCCTGCCTGGAACATCGCCGACGCCTGCGTCCGCAGTTGGCTCCTTGGCTCTGTTGGGCCGGATGTCCTCGGCCTGGCGACGGCGCCAGATCAGACCGCGCGTGCCCTCTGGCTCGCCATCAGGCGCCTCTTCGAGGCCAACAAGGCCCCGCGCGCCATCTTCCTGGGTCACGAGTTCTACTCCATGACCCAGGGCGACTCCCCTGTCAACGACTACGCCCAAAAGATGAAGGCCACCGCCGACGCACTTCGTGATGTCGGTCGTGTCATCACCGACTCGGAGCTCGTCCTCAACTTCCTGCGCGGCCTCAACCCCCGCTTCGCCAGCACCGCCGACAACATCGCCGACTCGCACCCGTTGCCGGACTTCGCCACCACGCGCGAGAAGCTCGTCCTCAAGGAGCTCCGCCTCGCCAACGAGGGCACCGTGGCAGCCCAGACGGCGTTCCACGCCGCGTGCGGCACTCCCTGCCGCACTGTCTCCAGCGCCTCCGGCGGCAGCTTCACCGGCTATGGTGGCGGCTCCAGCAGCGGCGGCAGCAGCGGCGGGAAGGGAGGCGGCAATGGCCGCTGGAAGAAGAAGGGCAAGGGCGGCGCCCCAAAGTCTGCTGCATCAGCGGCTCCGTGGCTCTGCTACCCGCCCTGGACTGCTGCGCCGCATCAGCAGCCATGGCGTCCACCAGCGTGGGGCGGCTCTGGCGTGCTCGGGGCTCCTCCCCCGGCCCAGGCTCACACGGCCTTTGCCCCCGCTCAGTTCTCCGGCGCCACGAACTCCTCTCTGCCTCCTCACCAGCAGCAGGGCGGCTGGGATCAGGCAGGCCTCATCGCTGCCCTGAACCAGATGTCGCTTCAGGGCTCCTCCCCCTGGGTCTTCGACACCGGTGCCACTGCCCACATGTCATCCTCGGATGGTATACTCCTGTCCCGCCTCCCTCCTCCTTCTGGCATCACGGTTGGCGATGGCACTACCATTCCCATCACCTGTCATGGACCATCTAGATTACACTCCCCGCACTCTACCTTTCATCTTCATGATGTTCTGGTTGCCCCTGCTCTAGTACGCAACCTCCTTTCAGTTCGTCAATTCACCCGTGACAATGCTTGTTCCGTTGAATTTGACTCTTGTGGCTTTTCTGTCAAGGACCAGCAGACCGGGCGCGTGACTCTTCGCTGCAATAGTGGTGGCGACCTCTACACCTTCCCCACCACACCGTCCACTTCCTGCAGCCTCGCCACCACGTCGTCCCTGTGGCATCACCGCCTCGGCCACCCCGGCCCATCCAGCCTCGCCACTCTACGGAACATGTCGGCCATCTCCTACAATAAGCATTCGCCTTGCCTCTGCCATGCATGTCAACTTGGCAAGCACGTGCAACTCCCATTTAGCCATTCCACCTCTGTAATGAGTGCCCCATTTGATTTACTACATTGTGATGTGTGGACATCTCCGTGCCTAGCAACTCCGGGTTTAAATATTATCTCGTCATACTCGATGATTTCTCCCATTATCTTTGGACATTCCCCATCGCGCCACAAACCGAGGTGCACCGGCATCTTGTTGAATTCTTTGTCTACGCTTACAACACAATTCGGCACCACACCCAAATCCTCCAAGCGAGATAATGGCACCGAAGTTCGTTAACCACGCCACCGCCACACTCCTCAAAGTGTGACAAGGGCACTACCCCACGCCTCTCCCTGTCCCTATCGTCCCCTCAAAAATGGCAAGGCCGAACGCATACTCCGCTGACTATCAACAACACCATCCGCACCATGCTCCTCCATGCCTTCATGCCTCCTCCTTCATGGTGTGAGGCTCTCACCATGACCACCACCCTCCTCAATGGCGTCCCTCCTCCTCCTCCATCCACCACCAAATACCTCATCAAATTCTCTATGGCACTCTCCCAGATTACTCCTCCTCCGTGTCTTGGTGTCTTTGCTATCCAAACCTCACCGCCACCTCCCCCCCACAAACTCGCTCCTCGCTCCGCCCCGTGTGTTTTCCTCGGATACCCATCCTCTCACAAGGGCTACCGCTGTCTCGACATGAATACTCGCCGGATAATCATCTCCCGCCATGTCATATTCGACGAGTCGGTGTTCCCATTCGCAGAAGAAGACCATCGGCTGGCCTCCGTGTCGCCCTCACTTGAATTCGATCGATGGGGACTTTCTTCCTCGGCGACAACAAGTGAGCACTCCTCCGCCGCTCCACGAAACCAGCGAGGATCCGGCCCTGCGCTCTGGACCCAATTGTTATCCATTTGGGCCCCTGTTGCCTCTACGGGCGGGCACCCACCGCTCGCTCTCGCTTCATGGGCGGCAGCAACCGCCCGGCCGCTCCACGGTAAGGCGGGCGCCGGCGTTTCGGCATCGTCTTCACTCGCGCGCGGCCGAAGTTCTCGCAGCGCCGAACGTGGCTCTGCGGTTGATGCACCACCATCGAGGTCGTGGCCCCTGCTGGTGACCCGTGGCTCCCTCTCGGCGCCGGTTTCGTGGGTCTTTTGACCGCCACCATCATCGTCGCCCTCGCGGATGTCTTCGCGGTTCCAAGACCATTCGCTCCGCCACTGCGCAATGACCAAAGAAACTGCTTTGCACCACCAACCCGACTTTGTGACACGTCCACAGACCGGCGGCTCCTGCAAGACCGTCGCGCACGGCTTCACCACCTCCATCGCCTCGCCTTTCGGGTCGGCGAACTATCGCAGCGCCCTCGCCGACCCCAATTGGCGCGCTGCGATGGCCGATGAGTACAAGGCGCTGATCGACAATGGCACTTGGCGCCTTGTCCCTCGCCCCCCCGGTGCTAACATTATTCTTGGGAAGTGGGCGTTCAAGCACAAATTCCACTCGACGGTTCCCTCGCCCGGCACAAGGCGCGCTGGTCGTCGCGGTTTCTCTCCAGAGGCGGCGTCGACTACGACGAGACCTTCACGTCGTCAAGCCGCCACGATCCGCACCGTGTTTCAAAGATTGCTGCGTCCCGGATTGGCCTATCCGCCAACTCGGCGTGAAGAATGCCTTCCTCCACGGCAACCTCGAGGAGGCGGTCATCGCGAAAGCGGCCCAAAGGCTTCGTCGACCCTGCTGCTCCCTAATTCCGTTTGTTTGCCGCGAAGTCCTTGTATGGACTTAAGCAGCGCCATGAGCTTGGAACCAACGCTTCTCCGCCTTCATCGCAAGAGATCGGCTTCACCACATCCAAGTCGGATGCCTCCTGTTCATCTACAAGGTGGAGATGACATGGCTTATCTTCTCCTCTCACGTTGATGACATCATTGTCACCGCGCGTCGTCACCGGCTCTACTCCCGCACGTCGCCTCCCGACTCTCTCTGGAGTTCGCCATGACGGACCTTGGTGACCTCCAAAGACTTCCTCGGCATCTCGGTGGACGCGGGACAAGTGATGGCTTGTTCCTATCCCAGCGGCAAGACGCCGTCGAGCTTCTTCGGCGTCTTTGGCATGTCTAAATGCCACCCAAGCGGCTACCCCGGTGGATGCCGGACCAAGTTGTCCTCCATCGAGGGCGCTCCGTCGCCAACCCCTGAGTATCTGAGAGAGCTGGCGGGAGCTCTCCAAGACCTCACTCGACGAGGCCGGACACGGCCTATCTTTGTCGGCAAAGCAGCCCTTCATGCATGACCCTCGTGAGCCGCATCTTGCGCGATCAAGCGCATCTTGCGCTATGTCAAGGGCTCGCTATCTGCGAGCCTTCACTTGAGCTCCGGCCTGTAGATCGACTTACTGACCTACTACGATGCCGACCGGGTCGGTTGCCCGGATACACGTCGCTCTACCTCGAAGCTTTCGCATCTACCTCGGCGACAACTTTGGTCTCATGGTCTTCAAGCGACGAGACGGCGTGTCGCGCTCCAAAGGAAGTCTAAGCCGAGTACCATGCGGTGGCCCATGCGCGTTCTTGAGTCTTTCTTTGGTGCGTCGGCTCCTCCAGAGCTCCACATCTCCATCCCGCTTAGCGACGGTTGTCTCATTGTGACAATGTGAGCGCCGTCTACATGGTCGCCAACCACATCACCACCGCCGCACGAAGCATATCGAGATTGACATCCACTTCGTCTCGCGAGAAGGTCGCTCTGGGACGATTCGAGGGTTCTCCATGTTCTTACGCACACCGGTTCTTGACATTATGACCAAGGGTCCGCCTCCCACTCTTCAACGACTTTCGGACCAATCTGTGCGTCCGTGATGCTTCCGCTACGACTGCGGGCGGGTATTAGGATATGTATAATCCTGCACTAATCATAGATTGAGTGTAATCCCATAGATAGACTAGCTGCCATATATAGTCTAGGATTCTTTCTATGTATAGCCTAGGATTGCTTCCTTGTACGGGGAATAGCTTTCCATATGTGTAATTTCCTTGTATGCATATTAGCTATATATGAAAGGCACCCCACCCACATTCAGTGTGTGGTGATTCCCTCCTTTCCTGTCTATTCTACAAGCACACATGTATAAAACATAAGGCTTCAACATTTTTTTAGGGATGGCTTCAACAATTTTAGAACATCTCTTGAGCTGGTAATGAAAACATAGTTGAGATGTTTATGTTTAAGCATGTGCCTTCACACTCCAGGCTGCAAGTTCGGTTGACATTAAAAACCAAAAGCGTGGATCATGCCGCAGGAGAACAAAAGTTCCTAGATGGCAGTTAGTTGTGAAACTGTACAGATGGCACGTAGAATGCCGATTCCCGAATATGTCCAAATCGACTTAGCACATTTAGTGGACTAGAGATCAGTAGAGTCTTGCCATTCATTTTTATCGCGGATTGGAAGCATGATCCACAGGGCTTCCAATCAATGTTAACCCAAATATGTCCAAACTAACTTAGCACAGTAGCTGATAGTCTGGGATCAGCATGATTCTCCTACTCCATTCACAGTGGACGACAAAACCTTGATCCATGGGGCTCATGACAGATGTCAACCCAGGGAACTAGAACGGATTTCATAGAGTGCAAAGCCACCACACTACTGCCATTTTAGGTAAGGTCAAGCAGACAAGCACCACCAAACCTGATAACCCCAATGACAAAGCAGCAAATTCACATAGCACATGATAACTCCGAGCATGCACTTTCCTAGCGGTAATAGCTGCATCATTATATCTCTAGTATGTACTATTAACCAAGAAACGATCAGACATGAAGTGAATCACCCCCAATTTGATCTATGCCGATTTAGCCATTCATAAGGTGATAAGGATTAACGATACACTGAGTAGCTCACTCTCCCACTCCAAATCAGCTCAAATCTCGCTGAAATTTGCAAAGCAACACTACGATATGGCTACATGGGCTAAATTCTACCAGAAACAAAGCCAAGATCCATGCTTTCCCAACGAAATGGACATACAGCACTCCAGATCCATACCTGAAACGATCTCTTCAGCGGGGCCTCCACTGCAAAGATCCGGACCAAGAATAGCGAAGTCAGAAAGACCGAACACCGCAACAGCCGCAAAGAAGCCCCGAGAAACGGCGCGAAGCTTTGCTCCAGCAAGAAAGCACGCACCTTGCTCCATGAGGAGGCTGAGCTGCTTGACAGCGTCCTCGGAATCGGCCCCCATTGCCGCGGGAAGAGGCGATCCCGAGCTCAGATTCGGCGGGCCCGGCCCGGAACCGGAGGCGCGAAGCGAGGTAGATTCAGTCGGCGATCGGAGGGAAGCCACCTGAAGGTGTATTTGTTCCCTGGTGGTGTGCTCCCCTGCGCGTCTTTGCTTCCACGGCCTTCCTTCCGTTCGCTGATTGTGTTTGCTTGAAGTACGGCGATGAAATTGGAGCGATGGCCAATAACTGTTGTTTGATTTACAGTGATATAAAAATATTATTTGTTAACTAAAAAAATATAATTTATAAGCTAAGCGAACACAACACAGAAGGGGAAGAGCGTCAAGCCGTACAAGTAGAATTCACACTGCTCCACTTTTTCACACACTCCCGAAAATGGAAATATCTTTTCTTTTTCTACTATGTATAAACGATATAAGAAAAAAACAGTGTCCACGTATTCTCTTTCTCTCCATATAAAATTTATAAGGAATATTTAGTTTTGAAGGATATTTCTCTTATAATATTTTTTACTAAGAGCATCTCCAAGAGTACTCTATTGTTTCTTCCTAAAACTATGATGTTTTACAACTTCTAAAACAGTATTAGGAGGAATAAATAAGAACATCTCTAAGTGTTTGTAATAAATCACTCTTAAAACATCAAATTTGTGGTCCTACACACTGTTTAGTTGCCGGTAGGTTTTTTTCCCCACGAAATCCTAAGTTTCTTCTCCGTCGCCGGCGCCTCCCTACACCTGCCATCCCCAACCTTCCTCGTAGAGCTGGGCGAGCAGGCCCTCGGTGGTGGTCGCTGCTGCCTAGCTCTCCCAGCCGGCCACCCAGAAGCAGCAGCAAGCGGCCGGCAGCCACTGAGAGCCACAGGAAGCAGCAGGCGGCCACAAGGATGGAACCTGGCCGTCTGCATCAATCCGGCAATCGATAAAATCAATCCTGCCTCCTCTGTTGTCGTGCTGCGGCCGGTTGCTCACCTACAGGCACTCGTGGCCCATATACAACACCGATACGGCACCGCCGTGGAGCTCCGCCTCTGCGTCTAGGAGTCACATCGGCTCCTGCTGGGCGCGGGTGACGAGGAGGGCGTGGGCGTGTTTGTGCTGGCCGTGGACACAGGACGCGTCGTCTCGCTGGTGCGCCAGTGCTCCAGCGCCGTGGTCCCGTGGAGGCAGAGGAAATACATCTCACGCGAGGATATGAGTGACCGGCGTTGCGCGTAACTTTACGCGAACAAGGGGGATTTTTTCCAACTTCTAAAATATTAGGAGTTGTTGGAGAGGGAGTTTTTCACTTCTTTCTAAAAACCAAAGATTAGAAGAAGGTTTAGGAAACTCTTGAAGATGCTCTAATATTGTAAAAGTCAATGTTGTAAGAAAATACTTTTGAAAACAAAATCCCATAATACATTTTTTTGTCAGAATAGCCGATATATAATTCTTATATTAGGCTTTGTTTGGATCTTGTTGACACCTAAAATTGTCAAAGAGACTGGATCCAAAATTTTTAGTAGTTCCAAAATCGGCTAAGTTGGTTTTGATAACTTTGTTAAACTGTATAATAGACTTCACCAATATGTTCCTCTTGTGAGACGGTCGAAAATATTTTTTTTCTCGAATACGCAAAAGATTTGCGTATCATTGTATTAAGGAGAAGAGTTTAAAGAAAAACATACAATGCGCTTCTATCGAACGCCGAAGGAGGTCGACCTAACACAGCCGAAGCTGGACCATCCTAGCAAAAGACCTTATGTTTCGATATTATATAAAAAGAAACAACCAATATCGACGTAGCTTTATGGCCTAGGTGGCCTTGCGTCTTCGCGGCTGCCTGGACGGTGCCTTTCCAACGGCCAGGAAGAGCTCGTCCAGCGCCTCGACTTCGGACGCGTGAAGATTTGGAGTTCGCGTGAAGAAATGTGGCTTCCGAGAAATTGCCCAACAAAAATTGGGTAAGTCAGTTTGCATAATATGGATGGATGAGCTTCCTCGAGGAAATTGGCTAAGAGCCGGTTTTCATAGACCGAGTTAAAATCAAAATCTACTTCAATGGAAACTCATCCAATCATGTAGGAAACTTGCAGATTTTGTGTGCGGTAGGTTTCCTACTGGTATAAGATCACTCCCTTCTCTACATATCAGAGGATCACGACTAATTGAGGTAATCCTAGAGCAACCGTGCCATGCTACTCCCCGATTGGTCCAAGAGGTGTCCGTGGGTTTTTCAAGCGAAGAACAAGAATCACATCTACATAGCCGGCTTGCTGGTCGGTCTCATTGTTTTGACCTATCTTTGTTGCGTGTCTAGGCCATGTATGGCCTTGGGTGATCTTGTCGTCGTTGGTGTGTGACCGAAATTCGCGTCAACAAATCTCCTAAGTAAAATGAGAACTAGATAAAATAATTATAATGAAACCATTTTATAATCCATATATCTACCTAAAACATGCTATTTGAATATTCTCACTATGAAAATAATTACCATAAAAATGTGATTCGAACACCGCCTTCTATTTTTTTATCTAGAGTTTAGATTCCATATCATTATCTAGAATCGTGATGATGGGTTGTCAAATAATACCTTAGTCTGATGGCCACAATGTGTATTGAACAGCTCAAATATGGATTGGGGGAGCACACGATGTTTAGAACCTGGCCTTACATGATTGGGGGGTGGGGGAGCTCAATCCCGCTATATAGCATTTATGTAGAAGTCAATTTTGTATTTAGTGGTTGGCTTTCTCTTTGGTTGTTTCTTTAGTGGTTTACCCTTTAATAGTTGTTGGCTTTGTTGTTGGGACTGCCCTGTGGTCCCTATCCTTCTCCATCTAGGACATATTTGACAGAGTTTTTCTTTCTGCTCTGATTCTTCCCGCACTTCGTACTGCAGCAACACCGTTCACAGAAACCGTTTTACTCTCTTCTTGCAAAACGAACGTGGAGCTAGGAGAAGCCACGACTTGGAGCCGGATCCCGAAAAAGCTCAGCCAAATAGACCCTTAGTCTTAGCTCCCAGCCAATAGTTTTAGTTAGTTAGGGAGATAGGATGAAGGTTGGAGATACGTTTAGTTGTATTCTTTATTTTTTCATATTTTCTTTTTTTGTCTAATAAAATCATGACAAATCTCTTGTCATCCTTTCTTAAAAAAAACTCCATACATCGCGAGTGTTTTTATTCCATTTACAATGTACAACATATTCAAAATACTTTGAACATATAATATTTCGTTGTCAATACAATTGTATTCATTTATTTGATTGTTTCCTAATATACCCAAGAAAGAGCATTCGGATTTTGCGGATGCCCTCTTTGTTCTCGGTTGACATTTCTTGTTTGCCTGGCTAATCGTCCTTGTAAGATTAGGTTGGCTAGCAGTCTTTCAGCTCTTATCATTTTCAGCTGCTAGCATATTCTATGAAATATTCCCATCCCAAATGTTGTGGCGCCAGTTCAAGAGTGACAGCGAAACAAAAAAGATGTTGTTGGCCTGTTGCTTGCAAGTTTCCACCCTTGAAAAAACAAATCCCAAGTTTCAGGCCGTGCCGATAAAATTCGGGCCTGTTCCAAACTCTAAAGCAGACTTAAATGCCCCTATAATATACTGTACTAACCTATATAGCGTTCAATAATTAACACAAAAAATATTTTCAAATCATAATAATGGGCCTTCAAACTTGTGTTGCGTGTGCATCTCTATAGTTTTTTTTTTTTCTGAAAAAGATAATTTCCCTCGTATATCTCTATTATAATAGATCAATTAAAATTATACTATGTCTTCCAGAAAAACGTCACCACTGAAAGCCTCCGACCATTATGCACCTAAAAAAATATACATAAAAATTCGTCTCATTAAAATCCAGAGCTAATAAAACACATGAACCAAATCCGATGAAACCGACACGGCCAGGGATTGAATCCCACGCGATTTCTCCGGTAAAAAGAAAAAAAATGTCCGCAAACCGTTCCTCCGCGCCGCAAAACCCTAGCCCGCTCCGGGTGCGCAAGGCCAAGGCTTCCCCGTCCTCCCCCAACCGCTCCTCCTCTCCGGCTCCAGCGGCCTCCCCCGCTCCGGCTAGGCACCATGGCCGCAAGCCATGCCGTCATGAGGCCCCCGCCAACGCGGACATCGCGCGTTCACTGTCACTGCCCCGGGTCCGCGGCGGTTTTGGTCAGGGCCGTGGTCGGCAGGCGCGGGATCTGAGCCTCCATTGATGGACTTCTTTCGAGCCACACACGTTGCCTCCATCATGCTTAAACTCGGCCGGCCGCCAGCCTCTCTCACGCCGCCCAGCCCTCCACCACCCGAGCCTCCCTCGATGTGGCGGTCGGCAGGCTCAGGAGGCAGCACCGCGGATCCGGTGAAGGATCTTGTCGGGTTCATAAACCCGGGGTCCCTCGCGGACCGGCTTTCCAACAGAGGCTCGACCCAAGTACCTAAACGACAGGCCAGAAGGGCGATCCAATCACCGACCGGAAGGCCTGACTGAGGAGGAACGACGCTCGTTTCCAACTCTGGCCCACCTCTTCGGCCGGAGCGCTCGCTTCGGTCTCCAGCCCGCTTTCGAACAGCTACTCCGACCAGAAGGCCTGACCAAAACACTACTTCCAACTCCGACCCGCGTCTCTGACCGGGGATGCGCCAAACCCCTGCTCACTGCTCTTCTCCGACTGGCACGATCAGAGCCGACTGGGACTAACCAATCGGGGACGCTCGCTCGGTAAGGACTAGGGAACGAACGGAGAAAGCAAGGCAGGGCACACAAGTCAAACCACGATACCAGGGATCGTACCTTGTACACCTGCAGAAACAGTACTCTGCAACCTCCCTGACACAACAGAGCCCAAGCAGTATTATAGGCGCCGACATTTTTCCCTACAGTATTGTAGGCGCCATTAAACTCCCATACGGTAAGGCTCGTCTCACATGCCTCTAGGCATCGACAGTGTTGTGGGCGCCGACATTTACCGTACCGAGCGAACATGGTAAAACCCCTTGCATGCCTCCA